TTGGAGGTGCAAGATATCTGAGCGTGTAATGTTAATTTTACCTGTGATCCTTTGAATAAATCAGCACTGTTTTGAAGTTACTTGGACTGCCTCGTCTCTCAGAGTTAGCATGGTAAGACGGACCATATCCTACACCCTCCTGCAGAATCTTCTAATAAAGAACCAGAAAGACAGACAAAATGGGTCTCAGCCTTTCTGTTGTTTAATAAGAATAGTCACAACACCAATATCCCGTCAAATAATGTGCCATGGACAGAATTAATATCCTCTATCAATGTGCCAAGGACAAAGTTACCATAATTTGCACCACCAAGTGTAAGGGTATGGGAAGCATGTTTTGATACTCTAACATTTGTAAGATTTTGGGGGGTAGTGTATTTTGATAGATCAATATCCCCTGTGAAATAATGCTCTCATTACATTATTACCTTATACAGTATTACAATACTACTTATATTGTAACATTATGTGAAACATATTTTGATACTCTAACATCTTTAAGATTTTAGGGGTAACATATTCTGATAGATGAATATCCTCTATAAATTATTGCTCCCTGGTCAGAATCATCTTATATTACACCATTACTAACACTAACAGTATGGGCAGCATGTTTTGATACTGTAAAGATTTTCACGCTGGAGGGACTATGTCTCTCGGCTGGCCTGGGAACGCCTCGGCCTTCCTCCGGAGGAGCTGGGGGAAGTGTTTGGAGAGAGGGAAGTCTGGGCATCTTTGCTTAGATTGCTGCCCCCGCGAGCCGGTCCCGGATAAGCAGAGGAAAATGGATGGATGGATGGATGGAGGGATGGTGTATTTTAATAGACCAATATCTACAGTAAAATAATGCTCCCAGTACAGAATTATCCATAATTGCTGAGTACTCCATCTTTCTCTGACATTTTATAATTTATTTTACAACATTTATACTTTCTAAGAAATTCAGCTTTTTTCAACATTTTTTGGCACTTAATAACTAATGCATACTTTCAGCTACAAATACCATTCTGGTATCTAAATGTTCATCTTTTTAAGGACATTCCTGATTGTTCGTGACCTTTCTGTGCGGAGTTTGCATGTTCTCCCCATGCTTGCATGGGTTCTCTCTGGGTACTCCGGCTTCCTCCCACTGTCCAAATACATGTGGCTTAAGTTGATTGGTGACTCTAATTGCATGTAGGAGTGAATGCGTGTGTGTGTGGGGTGTTCGTCTGCGTGTTGACCCTGCGATGGACCCTGGGTGTACCCGACCTTTCGCCCTATGTCGGCTGGGATTGGCTCCTGCACTCCTGGGACCCCGTTCGGGACTAAGCGGTATAGAAAATGAGATGAGATGAGAACTTCAGCCATTTCTTCTTATCCTTCAGCTGTTTCAGGAATTGATTTCAGGCATTTTCAGGGCAATCCTTCAGCATGTCAGCATCCACACACATTTTCGACAGGAAATGCAATTCTCTGGTTTTATAATTTAAATACACATCAATATTCTCTTGAAAAACCTTGTACAACAAATATTAATCACCAAAGAAAAATCTTTAATACTGTAACTTTGATTAGCAAGTAGCAGTTTGAAATTTGTGATAAAAAAAAAAATACATTGCTTTTACATGCATCTTTATTTTTTTGCTTATACATGATTAGAGATAACCGATATCCTTTTGACAAATTAAATCACATCAGAGCACTACTTCTTATAAAGCTATTTATAGGAGCTAATGTCATATACCTCTACATGCATAAGCTTATACATACATTATATTTATACTATTAACACAGTGTCTGAATAAATGAAAACTCATGCACACACACACAAACTATTTCACTTCTAACGTTTGCTCAGACAAGTCAGTTTAAGACAGAAGCACTTATTCAGACAAGAGTGAGGGCAGTATCACATTTATTCATTGGTCAATCATTTTGCAAAGGGTAAGTACGGCATAAATATCAAGCTAATTGCACCCCAAAGAGGTTGGAGGCTGCATGGAATATTTCCTATTAAATCATTCTTTATCAATACAGTACCTTTGTTGTACATTACAGTGGTGTTACAAGTAAAAAAATAATAATTAAAACTAATACAACAACTAAATGTCATCACATTGCTGACGTTGTTTACATTATTTTGTGAGCAATGGCTCATGTATACTCATGGAATTTAAAAGACACACCACTAATACCAATAATACCAGTACAGGTGGTGCATTTTTAAATTCCATATTTCCCTAATATGAGTGAGTAGATTCCTCCTGCTCCCAGGATGACTCCCAGATGTGAGTTTGCCTGATTCAGCTTTGGGTGTGATTAAAACTAGAAGGAGGCAGCAACAGTAGAGAATGGGAAAAAAGCATCCTGTTCTTTACTCAAATCCCACTGCTTTGTGATTTTCCGCTGTTTGACTGATTTCTCTGTAGAACTGTTAAATGTTTATACAAAATCTTTGATTCCCAGTAACTGCCACCAAAGATTACAACTCATTACATAAATATCTGGTATCAGATACAATATACTGTATATCAGTATGTTAATACATGTAAGGAATGTTTTACAATCACTAAATATAAATTACAACAAATTGCTAATATTACAATGCCTAATCTCATTAAAAAATTGGAATTGACTGTTAGTTACATAAGGCATTCAAGACTAAAACCTAGAATATATTCTACATTAAGAAGAGAAAATGGAGAACAAGTGACAAAAATTGGTCCAGTACTTGTAGTGTGAACAGGGCTCCTTGAAAGGTTCACTTACTAAATCCAAGGCTTTCTAAGACTCATTTCAAAAGCTTTGTGTTCAGTATGACTTAAACAATTGCATTTTCTAACTGCCACGTTGCTCTAAAACCACAGTTCAAGTATTTTCTTATTAAAATTCTTAATACAATTTGGAAACACTCCATTTCCTTTTTATTACAAATTTTCCAGTCCTGTGCAACAGCAAAAAGTACTTCATCCTCTCATTATCATCTTGAACATTTTGCTTCACTGCTTCAGGACAGGGAGCTCCCTTGGTTTAAAGAAAGCCTGAACCATTCCCATGGCAAAGATGTACACTTTAGCATCTACTAAGATTTTTTCTTTCTTCAGAAGATCTGTGGATGAACAAGCAAAATCTTAGTGTTTTTTTTTTTGATAGCCTGAATGCTCAGATTACTCTCATATTAACATCACTTCCAGTTCTCACCATCTACTTTCATTTGAAATTCATCAAGAGGTAAAAGGACGACCTCAACAAATTCTGAAAGATAGGATAAAGGCTTGTGTGATGATTTGCATTATCAAAGAGTAAAATTACTTTTAAAAAATAAGGAACATAACTCACCTCCTTCCCCTGTAAAACAGCAAAACAGGAAAATATTACCCAATATGTTTTTGTATATTACAGGAAAATATCTCTTTAACATACAGGACAGCAGGCAAGAGTCTGGCAACAATTGGACAACAGTGGGCCTCATGCAAGAACACTTTCTTGTCTCCTTCTCTCTTACTTTTTTGTGACATTTCAGGTTAATGCTACAACTGTAACATTGCAAACTTGTCATAAATGGCTCATTGCCATCTCAAGTAAAAGAATGAACAAGAACATCTGATGAACTAGTGGGTTTAGGCAAATTAATAAATCAGCATGTAAATGGGTTTTTCTCACCAAGTTGCTGTGTTGGGTGGATATTCTCCACCTCATCTCCATTGATGTTGATCAGGACGATTTGAGTGGTGCAGTTAGACAGACCGGGGTCCAGACAGGTCACTGCATTAATGTGTATTTATCACTCACAGTGCATTTCCTCAAGATAACAATTAGTTTGGGATGCCTGAACCTCTCCAACACATACACAGAGATAAGATACAGCTGAGAGGGGCAGCTAATGCAATCAACTGTCCAAGGTGTCTACGAAAGATGATACCTGGTGTGACTCCTGCTATTTCCCCCTTGTAGCCAGTTTCCTCCTTCAGCTCCCTCAGGGCAGCGGCTTCTGCAGTTTCCCCCTCGTCAATCAAACCTGAGCACAGCAGAGACAGAAAACAATATACTAAGTGTCTAAAAACCAAGTTAGGGGATCTGTACTTATTAGAAATTTCAACAGTGTCAATGTGTGGTAAAAGGAACGGAAGATTTAACTAGGGCTGTAACCAACTAAGGATTTTGTCAATTGACTCTTCTATTCGACTGTTTTAATTCTTTCTTATATATAAGCCCAGACTATTAGAAAATCAACTGGCATGAATTTCTGTGATGATTCTGACCACAGGAACAAGAGTATTTAAATGCCACAGATAGACAAGAACATATTTGGGAGCATTTAAAAATCTATAAAAGACAGTTACATATGATGCAGTATTTAAATTGTGATCTATTTAAATTGTCAACATATAATGTCAGGCTGCTACAGTATAAGGATTTGTTGGAATAATGAGAAAGGCAGCACACTTTTATTTCTGTTGAAACAATGCTCTTAGAGTTGGTTATATCATAGTTGCCGAACAGGTTTGAGCTTCTCCCGTCAGTTAAGCACAGTTTATGTTGTTACTGTGCATTTGATGTGTGCCAGCTTGCACTACTAACGCTTCCTCTTATTTATAATTCCTCAATTAAATGTTTTCCCCACACATTTTTGTTAGCTTCCTAGCCCCTTTCAGATGGATGCATGTCGCAGAAACATCTGGTAAATGGCTGTGTGTTGCACTTTAACAGAGAAGGGTAAACAAACCGGACTCATATAACATTATGCAAAACCAGCTACATTGTCATGACAGCTTTTTCTCTGGTAAAAGTAGACCATGAGGTTTGAAAACACTTCTAATAAAGTACAAATCTCACCTAGTTTGTTTTGTTGTCCTTTTATCCTCATGGACTCTGTGCAGATGTCCACACAGTAAAGGTCCTGACTGCGCATGTACCACAGTGCTTGGAAACCATTGGTGTATGCAGACAGAAGGCAGGCCCTCAATTTGAATTATGAATAGGAACACATGCGTATTCCACATCTGTGTCCATGTATGCATGAGAGTATGCACAAACCATGTCTGTCCCTTTACACATTAAAGCTACTCTACCTAATGCCTTTTCAGTGGTTAGAGAGTCTACAGAGACTCAAAACAAACTGAGACCACAAACCACACCCAAGCGCTCTTTGGCTGTTTGAAATAACTACTTGCTTCTTATAATCTTCACAACGTGGCAGCCAGGGCTAAGCTACAGACCGTAATTTGAAAATACAGGGTAAAGAAGCTGTAGTAACAACAGAAGGTAGCAAAATGTCTGGCTTCACTGTCAGTGAAATCCAGGCCTGATCATTGTATTATTCATCCATGATGATGAGTGCAAACACACCTGCAGGAAACTCCAGAGTGTAGCATCCCAGAGGAGGACGAAACTGTTTCACCATCACTACACAGTCTTTATGGAGTGTCCTCTTCAGTAAGGCGATAATTCCAACACCTTTGGGAAGAGTTCGTTATGCCCTGATGAATTTTGCTACACACTGAATAACCTGAAAATAATGCTCACCATCTACTTCTGTGGTGGTTTGCCTTGTTGTCCTTTTCACAGTCTCCCAGGTTCTAGTGAATGAAAACAGAAACTGGTAGTAGTACAAAAGGGGAAAACCACTTTCTTTTTAGCCATGTTGGTGAAAGACAGAAACAACACCTGGTGTTTCCAGCAGGGTCCACATACGTTGTTTTCTCCAGCTTCACCCATGTCCCTGCTGCCATGAGCTGAAACACAAGGAGCAGAATGGCCACATTAAGCTAAGGTGACTTGAAACCTACCAAATGCAACATGTTATAATCACAATATTTTACAGATAAACAGCTCAGCAAAAGAACTGTGTTTTGTTTTGAAAAGTGACTTTGCTGCCATGGAGATTTAACATTTTACTCACTGAGACAATTAATGTGAATTACATTTGGTAAAAAATGTTTAGAAAACTGGTTGTAACACACTTTATAATTATGGTCATTTATATTCTGTTGTAAACTTTTGTATCAAATATGAGTATAAAATGTATGTTGGTAACTTAATGTAAAAGATGACAGTGATGATATTTTGTATATTTCACATTTATAACAATCTGTACCTCAAAGGGCTGACTGATGGACAGTGAAATTTCCAAGGGAATGCAATGAGAAAAACTTATCAACATTATCTTTTCACAATTTTGTATTACCCACCAAGGCTGGAGACTGAACAATTCTGGAAGAGCATATGGGAGAAGGAGGCATCACATAACAACAATGCCCAGTGGCTGGTGGACCTAAGAGCAGACCACAGCAACCTCCCTGAACAAGACCCAGTAATCATCACAATGGCAGACATTCAAGAAAGGGTCTCAAGTATGAAGAGCTGGACAGCACCAGGCCCTGACATGATCCACACCTACTGGTTAAAGAAGCTAACTTTGCTCTATGAGCGCCTTGGCGGGACAAATGAATCAACTACTAATGGATGGAACTCACCCTGAGTGGTTAACTGAAGGCCAAGGTAGTAACACCAGCGGAGCAAAACTCCAGCTACTGGTTGATAAAGTAGTCACTCGAGACTGCAAGACCAGGCATACCAACCTGTGCACTGCCTGGATTGACTACAAGAAAGCCTATGACTCATTGCCGTACACATGGATCCTGGAATGCTTGGAACTGTACATCAACAGGACTCTAAGAGCCTTCATCAAGAACTCAATGGGAATGTGGAAAACAACCCTAGAGGGCAACTTCAAGCCAACTGCACAAGTCAGCATCAAGTGCAGTATCTACCAAGCAGATGCTCTGTCCCCGCTGCTATTCTGCATAGGGCTGAACCCCCTCAGCCAGATCATCACCAATAGTGGTTACAGATACTGACTACGGAATGGAGCAACCATCAGCCACCTCCTCTACATGGATGACATCAAGCTGTATGCCAGGAGTGCACGAGACATCGGCTCACTGATCCACACCACTAGGATCTACAGCCAGGACATCCGAATGTCATTCGGACTGGATAAGTGTGGTCAAATGGTAACAAAGAGAGGGAAGGTAGTCAGAACTGAGGGGATTGTACTACCAGAAGGGAACATAGCAGATGTTGAGGGCAGCTACAAATACTTTTGGATCCCACAGGCAAATGGGAACCATGAAGAGGCCGCAAGGAAAGCAGCAACTACCAGGTACCTGCAGAGAGCAAGGCAAGTTCTGAGAAGTCAGTTGAATGGAAAGAACAAAGTCCGGGCAATTAACACCTATGCCCTGCTGGTCATTAGGTACACCATTGTCATAATAAGCTGGCAAAGGAGGAGTTAGAGGCCAGTGACATCAAGTCAAGGAGGCTCCTTACAATGCATGGCGGGTTTCACCCCAAATGCAGCATCCTCAGACTGTACACTAAGTGGAAGGATGGAGGCTCAGGATTAGTGAACGTCAGAGCCAGATATAACAATGATCCATGAATACATCAGGCAGATGGCCCCAAATGATGACATGCTTAGTGAATACCTCAGGCAGCAGAAACCAGAAGAACAAGGGAAGGAAGAGCAGGAACCCTCATGGAAGGACAAACCCCTGCATGGTATGTACCACCGTCAAATAGTAGAAGTGGCTGATATCAAAAAATCTTACCAGTGGCTGGACAAAGGTGGACTGAAAGACAGCACAGAGGAACTAATCCTGGCAGCACAGGAACAGGCTCTAAGCACAAGATCATTAGAGGCAGCGGTCTACCATACTAGGCAGGACCCCAGGTGCAGGCTGTGCAAAGATGCCCAAGAGACAATCCAGCACATAACAGCGAGGTGCAAGATGCTAGCAGGCAGGGCGTACATGGAACGCCATAACCAAGTGGCTGGCATGATGTACAGAAACATCTGTGCCAAGTACAGGCTGGAAGTCCCAAAGTCAAAATGGGATACACCTCCAAAGGTGGTTGAGAATGACCAAGCTAAGATCCTGTGGGACTTCAAGATACAAACTGCCAAACTGGTAATGACCAACCAACCGGACATAGTAGTGGTGGACAAACAGAAGAAGAAGGCCGTAATGATAGATGTAGCAATCCCAAGCGATAGCAACATCGGGAAGAAGGAACATGAGATGCTCGAGAAATACCAAGGGCTGACAGAAGAGTTAGAAAAGATGTGGAAGGTGAAGGCACAAGTGGTCCCCGTGGTAATAGGAACATTGGGGGCTGTGACCCCCAAACTGGGAGAGCGGCTCCAACAGATCCCAGGAACATCTGAGATCTATGTCCAGAACAGTGCAGTCCTAGGAACAGCTAAGATACTGTGCAGGACCCTCAAGCTCCCGGGCCTCTGGTAGAGGACCTGAGCTTGAAGGAAGGAAAGAGCGCTCCAAAAAAGTGGGGCGAGTGAGGTACCTCTGTACAATGCCAATATGTGCAGGACTGAACACTGTGTGCAACAATAAAAACAAATGTACAATATGTGTGAAAATGAGGCATTATGTGCAAAGGTAAAAATAAGGGTAAACATGTGAGAATTGCTATTCTTTTTGTGTCACGCTATATATATATATATATATATATATATATATATATAAAAGTATATATGTGCGGGGCGAATGGGGCATTTTATAAATACACACACACACACACACACACACACACACTGTATATGTATATACAGTCTTGATTCAACAGATCTATATGTACAATGTATATTTACAGGTACAGATTAGTACAAAAATCATGCAAAAACACACCTTATAAAGACTTTCTTGAGGTTTGATGTGTTAAAGTGTATTAATTTGCACTGGTGAACATAGTATCCTATAGTTATTCCAGCGGATATAGAGTTTTGTCAAGGAAACATTTAAAACACACGTACCTCTTCTTTCACTACATGCGGTGCAGTAATTAGTTTAGGCTCCGAGTTGCTCATTTTCAATACCTGGAGAATTGAAAAAAATATGAAAAGTCAGGTCAGAAAACTTTAAGCCGAAACAGAATGCTATTCACGATGCGTGAGACTTAAAACAAAACCACCTTTTTAATGTTGACGAGACAAGACGTTTGTGCTCATGAGATGCACAATTAGCTTCAACAACAGAGTTTAACAACCTACCCCTAACATGTTTGTTTATTTCTTTGCTAATGTCACGTTGGGAATATGCTTTATGTTTTACAATGCACCAGAGGTTTGGAGATAATTTAAAACTCTAAACAATCACGAAAATGTAAAAACTAAACTCACGTGAACTTCCAACTGTGTAGCGTGAGCAGCGGAACAGATGTTAAAATAGTGAAGACGAGTCACTCTTACACCACTTCAGAGTACCACAAACGTCACCGGAGGACGAGATATGTGTTACCCTAACCTTATTGTGCACTTGTCCTGCAACCTAACCAGTCATGTGCTATTACCGTAATCCTAATCAATTAGCTCTACCTACTCCTAAGTGTTGGACTTGGGCTCTAACGTTTTTCCATTCAAAATTATTTATTTTTGTAACCTATTGTGAATGACGGTACGCTTGTAGTTTTTACAGGATTGAGTAAGAACTCGTTCAATAAACGATCTACGTCAGTTTTTACTTGGCCTCGCCTACACATGTGCACCTAAGAAAAGTGCCCATCTGACAACACACAATTATTACATCATTCGCGCAATAAAGTCAATTGTTCGTATTGCTTACCTGTGAATTTTAAATACATTGAAACATTCACTCACGACAGCATAAATATGTAGCAATATTGCCTCAAAATTTCAAGGCAATAAATGAAAGCGCTACCGAAAGCCTTGGCGAATTCCCTGGGGTTCGGACGATATTTACTGATGGACACGTTTCCGTTATAGGATATTAATGCAGCATGAAGAAGGAGCAAGTTGTCAACTGTCAGTTTTCGGTTTGGTATCCGATATTCAGGATACATACGATAAAAAGGTAAATAACTGCCATTTGTACAGAAAGTGTAGGAAGTATGTTTGTTGTTGCTGCTGTAAGGCACACTCCAGTTAGCCAACAGATAACGTTAGCTACCAGACCAGTAGATGTCAGCTTGTTTACATTTTGCCCATTTTTATCGTGTGTATTACTGAATAACGTTTAAATTGTATTCAGACCTGCTTCATTGAACTGATTTTTTCTGTCTCTGTCTCTTTGGGTTGACTGCCCTTTATGCGACCTTACATGCCCACATACACCGCACAGCCTCTGATAGACGCTTTTTTAAATTTAACAACAACTTAAGTTGGCCGAAGCCCATTAGTTCCACCAGAACATTGAACTTACAGCAACTTCTCTATATATTATTTGTCTATAGTATTAATTTTATTTCTTATTTTCCAGTGTCATTCTCCCACTGCCTCAGAATGTAATAGATTATTTACTAGACGATGGGACACTAGTCGTCTCTGGGAGGTATGCCCCCCCCCCCACACACACACACACACACTCACACACACTCACACTCACTGTGTACTTATATCTTTGTAAAGACACTCAAAGACATAGGTTAAGGAGCTAGGGAATGCACTAACCATCATAATGATGGTTACATACAGTAGCAGGTTAGATTTAGGGTTATGGTTAGACATTTAGTTCCTATTTTGTATAGGCTTCGCCCTCTAACAGCTGTCACTATTGGGTTTATCCCTCACGTATGCACAGTCCTGAAGAGAGTTCTTTTGCACCCTGTGCGATGCACTGGGCTGTCTCCACTCAGGTCTGCTGTGGTGGCATAAATGCCAATGTGACCTGAGTTTGGCTCTTGTCTTTTTCTTCAGCCATTTGAAAGAGCAATTCCTAGATAAACCAAGTCTAAAGAGCAAAGTTCCTTCAACGCCGGACTGCAGCGCCGCACTGCCATCACTATTTGCTCAGGCTGCGATAGGGCTTCATCACGCCCAGCAGCCCACATCCCTGTGAGGCCCCAGGCCACTTGCCCCTTCGATGCTTGCTTGCCCGCTGCAGAGAAGCAGCGCTGGGCTGAGGCGTTTGCAGCCATCAGAGAGTGTGACCCTGACGATGAAGGCAGCTGGACAACTGCAGTGACGACCTCTTGGCGGATGGTCCCCTGGAGTTCCTCGGTGTGGTCAGCGCAGAAGGGCCCAAGTTCGTTGGCTTGTTTCCCTCCATCGCTGGCTCCCCTGGCTCTTCCATTGACCCATCAGTCAACATGCATGCCAGCGGAGATGAGCCCCCTCTGGTGCAGTAGCACGCTCCCGCCTCCAGCCTTTGGAGCTCTGCTCCAATATGTGCCTGTCATCATTAAAAAAGGCAGCATATCGCAAGGGGACTCCTCTCCTGCCGGAGGCAGGTGACAATGATGCAGTGGGTAGAGCAGTCATCTCCCAACCAGGAGGGTGAAGGTTCGAATCTTGGTGCCTGCAGTCCATGTGTCGAAGTGTCCTTGGGTAAGACACTGAACCCGTTGCCCCCGATGGTTAGAGCCATCGGTTGAGGTGGCACCGCAGATGGCTGCTATCGGTTCTATAACGGAAACAAATTCCTTGTGTGTAACATGCTTGGCCAATAAAGGTGATTATCCTTATATCCTATTATAGGAGGTCCAGGAAGACAAAATATGATCCTCTTCTCATACACGGGGAGGTGGTGGAGCAAGTAGATAACATCAAGTTCCTGGGCATCCACATCACATCCGACCCGACCTGGTCTCTGAACACATCCTACCTGGTACAGAAAGCCCAGCAAAGGCTTTTCTTCTTCAGGAAGCTGAAACGCGCTAGTCTCTCCTCTCAGTTGCTCGAAAACTTTTAGTTGGCGCCGTAGATGGCTGCCATCAGTTCTGTACCGGAAACAAATTCCTTGTGTGTAACATGGCCAATAAAGGTGATTATCCTTATCCTCTTCCCCCATCTGACATGATGGGTGATTTCTACTAGACGGAGCAGTAAGGCAAAGGCACCCCTTTCTGGCCCAAGTTTCCCGCCATCCGCCCATTCCTGTCAGAGATGGTCCAGTGGCCTGGAAGCTTATGGGCTTCGGTCACTCGCTTTGAGCCTCTCACTAGGGTGCAGGGCACCACAGACCTCTGTTTCCCCGCTGTCCAGTCGCTGGAGCCAAGCATTTCCTCCATCTTGCTCCCCGAGGTGGTGTTCTTCGGCAGGAGACAGCCTACTCCTTCCATTTCATGGGACCAGGTCACCACCCACCTCTCGGACCTTATCCACCTGTGCGCTTCCCAGGCAGCTGCGGCATTCAGCATTGTGGCGCTTCTCTCTGCATCCATCTTCTCCCTTGTTGCCGAGCTCAGGGCTCTCCCTGCAGAGGCCTGCACATGCACAAGCCCCCCCGAAGGCAGTGGTGGGAGACAGTGAGTGTGTGTGAATCAGCAGAGACAAACGGACACTTACAAGTACATAAAGAGCAATCTCCTGACAGTCCGGTGCGATGCTGCAGTCCGGCGTTGAAGGAACTTTGCTCTTTAGACATGGTTTATGCAGGAATTGCTCTTTCAAACTGCTGAAGAAAAAGACAGAGCCGAACTCAGGTCACATTGGCATTTATGCCACCACAGCAGACCTGAGTGGAGACAGTCCAGTGCAGTGCACAGGGTGCAAAAGAACTCTCTTCAGGACTGTGCATACGTGAGGGATAAACCCAATAGTGACAGCTGTTAGAGGGCGAAGCCTATACAAAATAAAAACTAAATGCCTAACCATAACCCTACATCTAATTCTAACGTGAATCCTAAAACCACATTTTAACCTTCAAAAAGGTGTTTCACAAAGTGAGGACTGGCCAAAATGGCCACACTTTCCGAAAATGTCCTCACTCTGGAGCCAAAAAATATA